GCCCAGATACCTGCTCTGTGCTGCGGAAGGAAGGGTCCCAAAGGCCCAGGAGGTCCCCTGTGTCCGCGGGAGCTCTGGGTGGCCGCCCGGGGGCTGGGCTGCTGAGGCTGGTGCCCTGGTGCGTGGGGAGGGGGAGCGAGTGGCAGGAAGGCCCCTGCGATGCCCTGGTCAGTCTGGATGAGCTTGCCTCCCTTGGAGCAGAGCCTCGGCTCCTTCCAGGCCAAGCGCCTGCCCGGCCCGGCAGAGCTCTGCTCGGCCTAGCGAGGGGTCCCACCCTGTGCCCGGAAACCACCGTGGAGGGTCAAGAAATGCAGAGCCGTGGGCTTTAGGAGAGTATTTATTGTGTGGGGGATGGGTGGCGGACAGAAACGGTGTGCTCCTGGGGGAAGGCCCCGTACAGCATGGCCCCCAACGGGCACTCCTGGGAGGACTCTTTCCTGCAAACAAGGGGGCAGGTGTAGTGGGGTGAGCGCCGTCTTCTCGCCCCCTCCTGCCCTCCCTGGGCCCAGCCCCAGGGCCTCTCTGTCCCTGCCCACTGCTGTCTGCTGTCCCACCTTGATTCTATGGCACCCACCCCCCTGCCACCTGCTCCCGGCGGGAGGGCCCCCACGGTTCAGCCTTCTGGCTAAGAGGGGTCTCCATGGGTCTCAGGGCACCGGGCGCTGCATGCTGTGGGGACTGGTGTCCAGGCCGGCCCGAGCACTCACCTAGGAGAAGGCGCCAGCACACTGGTCTGTGGGAGAGAGTGGGGTCTGAGGAACCAGCCAGAGGCCCCTTCCCCAGCGGGGGAGGCCCCCAACCGCCCCTGAGGAGCCAAGCCTCCCTGCCTGCAATCCCCTTCGGAGAGGCCACTGGCCAGGGCACTGGCCCGCCCTCTTCTGGCCCAGATAGGTCTGGTGCTTGTCCCACACCTGGGGGGAGTGGTGCTCCCAGTCTGAGTCTCCTGCAGCCCTGAGCTGGCTCGGGGACAGCACTCACCGGACTGGGGCAGCAGGGCGCCCTGGCTGGGGTTTAGGCCCACTTGGGGTGCCAGCTGCTGCATTTTCTGGGCACCTTCAGGAAACAGCTCCGGGGCGCGGGCTGAGGGCAGGGAGGGTTGGTGAGCAGAAGAGGGCAGGGTTGGGAGGAGGAGGGTGGTGGAAGGCGGGGTGGGGTGGGGTGGGGTGGGAGGCAAGGGGAGGAGGCACGGGGGTGGGGGGAGGGGTCCGGACCCCTCTACCACAGACACGGGGGTCCCCAGGAGACCCGGGGACACAGCGGTCCCGCCTGCCATGGACCTGGAACTTGCTGGAATGTGTGCGTGGGCGGCAGTGCAGACGGACCTTGGGCACACGGCTCCCAGAGGAGCGGCCTGCGCCTGGTGACCAGTGGGGGGACGGGGGTGCTGGGAGCCCCTCCCCCCAGGACGCCCACCGTAGAGCTGCAGCCAGACGCTCCTGACGCCTGCCTTCTGGGTCTCCACGTAGAGCACGGCGAAGTGCTTGTAGTCGGTGCTCACCACCCGGATGTCAGTCTGCGCCATGGCTGAGGGGGAAGGGCCAGCTGAGCTGCCTCGGCCCGGGGCCCGCCCCCTGCCTCTCTCAGGAGCCCCCCGCCCCTGCCCAGCCTCACCCGCGTCGCTGAACTGCCCGTCAGCAGCCCCCTTCGTGAAGGTCGTGAGCATCTTCTGGCACCCGCCGTCGGGCCTGAGGAGGAGGAACCACGGCGTCCCCAAGGCCACCGCTTGGGGACTCTGACCACGTCGGGTGGGCCGGGGCCCAGGCCACCCCGGCACCCCTGTGCCCCCTCCCAGCGCTGCTTAGAGGTGAGGCAGCCCTCTAGGGGACAGGGGGCAGGCGTGAAGTACTTGGGGGAGCCCTACAGCCAGGACACGTGGGGTCTCCCCTTCAGGTACACACACGCCCCGGGGACGATGCTCCTCCACGGCTGAGGCGTCTGCTGCGGCAGCCTGACCCCACCAGGGGCCTGGGACTAGCTCGCTAGTGTGCCAGGGACACCTGTGTTCTCAGTGGCTCACACTGGCCAGGCCTAAGGCCCAGTCCGAGGTGGGGTTTGTGGGGTCACTTACGTAGGGTACCCGAACTTGAGGGCCAGGTCACCGTTGTCCAAGGGGGTCACCAAGACCACGGGCATCTTTGTGTCGTCCTTGGAGTTCAGGAAGTCCTGGTCGTCTGAGGCCACCCCGACCACGTACCAGGTGCCCTGGAACTGCAGGGAGGGTGCGGGGAGAGCTGGGGCCCTGCGTCCTTATCAACCCTCACCCAGGTGGGGGGTGGGCAGCTGTGACTCCTCCCGGTTCCAGGCTCTGGGGAGCCGTGGTGGGCACAGGCCACAGAGCAGTCCTGCTGTCCTCCCCAGCCCAGCCCGTGCCCAGCTGATGGGGCAGGTGGAGGGGGCTGTCTCCCCTGTCCCCCTGACTTGAGCTGAGCCGGGACCGGAGGATCCCCAGGGGCTCCCCTGGCCCTCCAGCCTCCCTGCGGGTCATGCACCCCCCGGATGGAGAAGCAGAGCAGGTAATTCGCGAGGAGGAGCGGCTGCCAGGGCCCACCTGGCTGGCATCGAAGTTGGCCTGGATGGGGACCTGGCCCTGGCCTAGGGACAGCCTGAGCAGGACAAAGACGGAGCCGATGAGCAGTGCCTGTGGCATCTTGGAGGACGGTTCTCAGCAGGGGACCTGGGGTGGCTTCTCCTGTCCGGCATTTATGACCCCCAAGTGCGCTGGCGTGGCTGTCTGCTGGCCTGGGACCAAGCCCACTGAGCTAAGCTCGGATGGGGTTGTGCCCAGCTGCCCCGCCCATGCCCGGCGGCGTTTCCTGCTGGGGAGGCAGCAGGTACTTGGATGCAGGGGGAGGAGAATGTTCTGGCAGGCTTTCCGCGGTGTCTGCCCCCAGCTCTCTGCTCACACATACCCCCCCCCCCAGTCCCCTCCTCCGGGAAGGCTGCCAAGAAGCTCCCCGTCCCGTCTGAGCCTCACAGCCCTCGGTGCCTCTGTAGGGCCAGGCTGAGGTTTGCCCGTGGGGGGCGGTGCAGGGGACCCTGCCAGGAGGGCTCCGGACAGGGCCTGAGGGGTGGCAGACGGCAGGAGGTGGGGGCAGGGCCGGGCAGGGAGACCGTGCTCCGGGGCCCAGCGCTGGCTGTGGCGCCCGGGGCCCGGCGAACGGGCAGGGCTGTGTACTCTCGACGCCCAGGCCGGAGAACGGGGGACTGGAGGCGCTACAGTAGCCAGAGAGGACGTGAGGTTGTCCGGTGGTCGCCCACTCTCCGGGGCAGCCCAGGGTGGGGGGCATGGATGCCGAAGCCACCTTCCTCTCTGTCCTCTGGTAACACTGGTCCCTACCCCGTGTTCTAATCCCACACCTTCAAAAGCCCATCGGGTACAGAGCTCCCCTGGGCCTCAGGCCTCTCCAGGCTCGGGGTGAGGGGGCCAAGGGCACCTGCCTGGGGGGAAGGAGATGAGAGGGCACCACCCAGAACCGGCCAGCAGGAGGGGCCGTGGTGAGGTCAGAGCCCAGCCCGCGCTGGGTGGGGGACGTGAGGGCGCCTCTCCGTAGCGGTCCTGACTCCGGGCCCGCCCACCGGGACCGAACACCAGTGCGCCCTTGCCCAGAGTCCGAGATTTTACAGACAGGAAGGGGAGACTGAGGCCCAAAGTGAGGGGGGTGCGTGCGGTCAAGTCCCCAGGGAGCTGGCCGGAGCCAGGCCCGGGGCCCAGAGCGGCGAGGACTGCAGGAAACACAGGCAACAGCTGGATTGTTGACTTGCTTCTGGAGTTTATTCTCAGAGCCAGGATAAAGTCTGAGGGGGCAGAGGTGGTGGCAGGGAGGAGCCAGGACTGGGGGCTCGGGGATCCCGGAGGAAAGAGCAGAGCAGGGCGCGATGGCCAGGTCCTGGGGGCTGGGGTCGCCTGGCAGAGAGAGCGGCACCCGTGGGTGGGGCGGGCAACACCAGCTCTCCCACCCCCAGGGTCCCCAGGTTCCTCTTTACTCCCGGGAATCTCGCGGAATTCCCGGGGGAAGCCCCTCCGCCTCGGGCAGCCCCCGCGACCACCCTGGGGTGGTGGGATGGGTGATGGCAGGTATGAAGCCAGCCCACAGCCCACCACACTCACCTATCTGTGTTCCTCCATGCACCTGTCTGCCAAGAAAGAACCCGGGGCCGTGGTCAGCACCCCAGGCCTGGGGCCACTTCCCCACCTGGCCCCCTCCCTGCAGCCCTGGAGAGCGGTCTCAGTGGAGCCCCCCCAAAACTGCTGAGTCCGGCACACTTCAGCACTCTCTCCCCTCCTCCGAACAAAGAGGGGGTCGTGCCCCCAGCTGGGCCCAGAGCAGGCTGCCTGCCTCAGGGGGGCCGTGGGCGCTCCGCCCAGTGCGGCTGCCCCCCCTACCCCCCCACCCCCGCCATGTTCCCATAGCACCGCTGCCCTCCACAGGCATCCCAGCCCACTGGTTCTGTTTCTGGGGCCCGTTTCCCACCAGGCTAGGGACCCCTGTGTCCTGAGGGCCGCCCAGGGGCCTAGAACACCGAGGCTGCTTGGTGAAACTGGGCCGGCGGGTGTGGGGGGGGGGGGTGCTGTTCCTGGAGACGGAGTATCTTCCTGTGCTGCGCCCAGGGCTGCAGGCCAAGGTCACAGGGTGAGGACAGACTGCCCCCACTCTGGAGGCCACAGTGTGCCGGTCCGTGGGCGGTCTGACCGGATGCACTCCACCCCTCAGCCTCCCTTGAATCAGGAGACTTGCCTGCCTCAAATCTGACCTTAATCCTCTTCCCATGAGATTAGCAGCCCCCCTCACCGGTCTCGGGCAGGAAGACAATGGCATCCTCTGTGAAGCCCCGGGTCTTGGCAAAGGTGCTGAATTTCTCCTTTACCTCAGCCCTTGGGGTCTGGGTGCGGCCTGGGGCAGGGAGGAGAAGCCACTGGCCTCAGTCGGGGAAGGTCTCTGCTGCCCCCACCCCTGCAGTTTAGGGACCCGCCCCTTGAGACCCCCGTCTGTGGTCGGGTGGGCCTCCGGCCAGAGCGCGGGTCGCTGGCGCGGGGTACGTACTGTAGAGAGTGGCCATGTGGAAGTCCTGGCCCGGGCTTTTTGTGCCCGCCGTGTACAAAAGCGCGTACTCCTCATAGTCCGTCGCCACCACCCACACGTCGTGGGTGCTGCCCCAGTCTGGGAATCCAGGAGAGAATCCCAGTCAGGGACCCTGTCCCCCAGCCTCTGGCCCGCTTCTGCCGGGGCTGGCTGTGGGAGGGAGCCAGGGATGATCCCCTCCCCCACCGGGACAGGCAGCCAGCCCCCAGCCTCCTGTCCGCACAGCCCCTGAACCCTGCGGGGGTCCAGTGCGTTCAAACCAGAAGTCCTGGGGGGTCAGCAGACAGAAAATTAGGGGCTCATGGCGCAGCCACAAGCCTCTGGGCTAGAACGGGTCAGAACTGGGGAGAGACTTCCCAGTGGGAAGGCCTCCCCAAGGAAGGGGGTAGATGGTGGGGTGGGAAATGAAGAGGCGCCTGGCCCTGGTTCTGCAGAACCGTGGAGAGGTGTGAGGGGGGCTGGGGGGCTACCCCAGTGTGCTCTGTCTGGCCAGCAGAGCAGAGGCCGGCAGCAAAG